GGCGTATAATTAATGTTGTTTATCGCGCATACGCAACGTGACGCACGTCGCACAGAGCCCCCCCCCCCCACCCACACATACGACTGTGGCAACAACAGGGCCCAAACCAAAGCCAAAGACAATACATGAAGAGCTCTCGCTATTGCTATAAATTATTACAGAGAGCCCCGTCTTAACTGCCTACCACTTGTCCTCCTACCCACTGTCACAGCTATCTGTTTTGTTACTGAAAGTACAAAAACCAAATACATATTTATTTATGAACACATGTATGTAGGTAAGCATGTACTTGAGCGTTGAAAGTTGTATGTATATGCATAATTATAATATGCTTGACCAAAATTGAAGTGTACAGCAACTCGTTTTCAAGACAAAAGTCAAAGAGTTGCCGCCTTTTTTTTATTATTTGTATTTTTAGTTGTACTGCGTATAATTAGGCTATAGGGTGTTTCTTACACATTGTTAACAATTGTTACTTGAATTAGCACATTCATTTACGATTACCAAGTGATGTTAATACGATTAAGAAATAATAGTAATAGCTCGATTGATTTATATGTAATTAACTCCCATCACAAGCCTGTTAACATTTCATCAAATGCCACGGGGTATCTGATAGTCGACCCTGTGCAGCAACAGTATATATAGCTATTTATTAGCATTTATTATATGTATTTCAACATTGCAGGTTTCCTTTTCAGCGTTGTGCAACTTGTTCTTAACACCTTTGTGCGCCCACGTATTTTGTTTATTTTTAGTCGAAAGGCGGCTGCGACAACTGGCAACGATGTCTCCCTATTTCTTTGTATACTATTTACCTGCCTTTTATTATTTGTATTTATGTCTGACAAAATACAAGAAATATTTTTGGTGTGGGCTTGTGCGTGGAAAACCGGAAAAGCCTACGTCCCCGTCCCCAAATGAGCTGGCCGAAAGCCCGTTTGGCCTGACTGGCATTTTAGAAAATGCAAGTGCACTCGTTCATATGGCCATCGCAGCATATGCCAATGACATTCATCCAACTGTCAGTTACTCTGATAAGACACTAGATGTCCTTGGGTTGGCAACAGTCTGGCCCGCAAGAGTGGGCAGTTGTGCATTTGAAAGTGAAGCGGAAATTGAATGCCATTGCTCAATGTAGCTTCGGCTGCCACGGCTGATGCTGCTAACGATGATGCATCTCGTATAACCTGTGCAATTGACTTAAAAATAGAAACAGCAGTTGATGCTTTCTGGTTCTGGTTTACTGTGGCACTGCTGTTGGATAAATTACTGTTAACATCTCTAAGTTAACATAATGCAATGTTAATAACAACCTTTTTAGAGAAGCGAAATAAAAATCTAGTTGAAATACACATTTAAAACGAACTGTAAACAATTGTACAAGTCTTGACCAAATACAGTTTTCTTTAAATTTTTAATATTACAAAGCCATGTTGTCAACAGCGCGCCATAGCTGTTAAATATCTACATTATAACAGTTTTCAAAGACTGATCAACTATTGAATATTGTATTTGGCCTAGCGATCGTTTGTGACCGCATATGGCATTGTGGCGCCTACGCACATAACGTTTGCACATAAGAAATGACATTTAACCCAAATACGCAGAGAGGAACAAAATAATAAAACGTGGCAGCACGACATTCAATTTTTATGTCATTTCAAAAACAACAACCAAAACGACAAAAGGTAGTGCCAGCAGCGACAACATGTAACCCGACTCACAGTCACACGCACAGAGGCACGAAATGAAACAGCTGATGGCAAATGCAACAATTAGGGCGTCATGGGGGCGTGACAGTTGCAAAATTTTGGCAAATACCAAAGACTTTCAATCGAAACAGTTGAACGGCACAAAAGTGCGTGAAATTAGTTAACGCATTAATGCGAAAATAGCGCAAAACTAAAACGGCTGGCGGCCCCAAAAGATACACCAAAATGCCAACACACACACACCACACTACATGCACACACATACATGTAAAACAACGTGACAAACGTTCATTCATGCTGCACAAGTAAATACGCGTTGTTTTGCTAAATTTCTCAATTGCAGACAACCAAAAGATACAAAGATACAAAAGTAGCTGTAGCAATAGCTTGCATGTGTGTGCGTGTGTGTGTGTGTGAATGTTTGTGTTTATGCCACGTTTTAATTATCTGCTGCAAACATTTGCATGCTGTCGTCGTATACATATTGCGTACGCGTATCTGCAAGATACATACCGCTGCTAACATAGCTGTTAAACATTTCCAATGACAGCAACAACAAAGCCAACAATTAACTTAAATCTGGCGCTATTTCTTGTTTTGTACATGACGCATTTAATTGCTATAAATAAATGTATGCATATAGCACTATTCATGTTTAATTCAAACTTATGACATTTTCGCTTAAGATTCTTAAGCATGTTTTTGTCAGCCATGGCAAGTGGACGTCACTCTATTGTTGCGCCTTGACACAAACAATATCTGATACAATAATGATCTATAAGTGTATATATATTGCAAACAGGGGTGAGTGTGAGTGCGTGTGTGTGTGTGTTTGAGGTTGTGCCCGCATTTCACATGACAGTCAGCCGCTCGGCTTTGCATTTTTCACTCTCCGCACACACAGTTGCCCGTTTTTGGGGCAATTAAAAAATCCAATTGATCGGCCATAAAAATCGATAGGCATTGCACAATAAAAGTGATTCACTTGCCACAGCTCAAGTGGCATCGTCTTCCCATTTATGGCAGAGAGCACACGCAGGCGAGTTCGAGTTAAAGTTAAAGTTGAAGTTGCAGCCATGCGGCCATGCGGCCATGCGACCATATGGCACAACTTCAAAGCGAAATTTATTGCCTTTTGAATCTCGCGCTCTCAAGTATTGCGCTTTGTTATCAAATTGTTCAATTTGTGCGGCTTGGCGGCGTCGGCGGCGGCAACTGTCTGCCGGCATATTAAAGCAATTGTCTAATGCCACATGGCTGCCAATGTTGCCCCTGCTGCGGAGTCTGCTGCTGGTAGTCGCGTGCCATGCATGGACTCCACGAATGTTTGAGTGTGTGTGCGTGTGTGTGTGTGTGTGTGTGTAAGGCGTGCGTGTGTGGAACATGAGCATGCAAAACACATTTTAATTACGAGCTTTTCAGCATTTTTAGCTATTTTTGTCAAAATTTTGTGTTTCGTATTCTTTTTTTTGCGCTTTTCAGAATTTGTTGCACATTGTGTGTATCAAATGTCATGCAAGATGAAAATGACGCAATCTAGGGGCGCGAGGGAGGCGGCAGCCAACCCAACTGGCAGGCACTTGAAAATGCTAATTGAAGGCTGCAGATACTCACATTTGTATCTACGGAATTGCCATGTGCCATGTGCTGAGTCATTTGTGCTTGGCTGGAGATATCATATTTTGCTGCTGCCTAGATGAGCGCATTTCTATGAATTCTGCCATCGGTTAGTTAAAAGCAAAATGAAACCAAAACAAAATTGAAACTTGCTAATTGACTTTTAAAACTATTCAAAAAAGGTTCGCAAATGTTTGCACACAAGAAATGCGACTGTTTAAAATATCTGCAACAGTCGAGCTCTTAACTGATTTATTTTGTTTATATTGGGTTCGTATTGAAAACAAATAGGATTGATTTTTTACGATTAAATCATTTGCAAATAAAATATTAGTCTAATCCGAGCTTAATCAAACTTTTCGAATGATTATCTGATTTAATGTAAAATATTTTTGCAAATTCTTAATAGAACTCAAATCAATTGATGATTTATCATAAGATAAAGATATCAAAAAATAAAGATAAAGACAACCATGTATTACGCTCAAAGATAATATGGAATGGAAATCGACAGTCTGCATTTTCCCACCCACTTGCCCAGCCAACCGTTGAGCCAAAACCAATCAAAGTTTTACTTACAACTTTCGCCAACGTCAACGATTTGTGCTCAGTGATCGGCGATCAGTGATCAATGATCGGCGTCGAGCAATGCCCTTTCATCATATAATAAATTTAGCGAATGCAATTGTTTATAAACCTGGTCAATTGCTTCATTTGCGGTACAGTTATTCAATGGTCAATAATGAAATGCAGCCAGCTCCTGGCCATGGTCAACTTCCGACTGCAATGGGCGAACGCTTGGCTGATTCTTTTTTTGGTAGCGCCCATAATGCCGAGTTAGCCAACATAAAACGCATAAACGTAAACAACAACAAATCAAAACAGCCAACGGTCGCCATGACAAGAGATTTTAATTGAATTTGAAAAACGCAATGGGACGTGTAGAGAGAGTTACCCCCTCACAGCTCCCTCACCTTCCAAACAATGTGCTGCTCGTGCTGGGTGCTGGGTGCAGAGTGCGAGGGGTTATTAGAGGGTTTGCCAGCTGTGCCCACGCGTTTCGCATAACAATTGTCAACAAATTTATGAGCACGACGTCAACCCAACTACTCGTATAAACATTGTCTCTGGGCCCCGGACCTGAGACCGGAGTGATATGGGATTGAAATTGAAATTCAAAAGCGCTCATTGCGCATTTTGTTATTTTTTTTTTCTTTTGTTTTTTGTTTTTTTAATTCAAAATTTAATTTGTTTGCGAAGCGTTCGATGAAGCGTTCGATTGATAATGCATTTTAGCATTGCTTTGTTTGCATTCCAAGCCAAGTTAATATAGATGCTCTTCCATCTAAAACGCAAACAACGCCCTAAAACACTCAAATAGAGAGCAGAGCATTCCAAGGCGACTTCTCAACAGGCTAGAAACCATTTCCAATCATCTAAAATTAGACGAAATGAAACACATTTCAAATTTTCATGAAAAACAAAAAAAAAGAAGAAAAAAAATGCCGAACGCTGAAAATGTTGCTGCGTATATGTATCTGAAAGAGAAATGCCAAGTAGGTATACATATATATATAAGACGCATACATGCATACATGCATATAGGTTTTATATATAAATACATATAGCTGTGACTATATAAACATTTGCGCGCTATAGTCCGTATAGCGGGTGTAGTCCGTACGTAATTTGATTTTTTAAATGCACAACGCAAGATACACACATAGTTTGTGTATCTATAAGATCGCGGCCGCTGCGTTGCGTGCCAGAGATACAAAGAAAGAGCAACAACAGCATTTTTGATATGTTAAGTTGATCGTTGTTGTTGTTATTGTTGTTGGGCTTATTTCGGCCAATGCGTGGGCCAAAAAACACCTTTAAATAATAATTTAATTACAGCTGTGTTCTGCTTTGATGTAGACAGCAATGGGATACACATTCTGCTACAGATAGAGATACAGCAACAGATTCAAATACAGATACAGCCCTTGCAGCATTTTCATAATGTTAACATCAGACGTCATGCGGAAGATACTCTCGGGTATATATTAACTATATATACTTTATACATATTTCGCAGATAGTACGTGCAGTTATGCTTGGACTGCGTCGCCGTAATCCGAGCACACCGTGCACACCGTCGTTGACGTCGTCTTTCCACAGTCTAGGCACACTTCAACTGTGCAAATTGCTCGGCATGCATCAAGATACAAATACGCTAGAAACGTGCTTGGACGGCATGTGTCATGTGTATCTAACAGATACAGATACAATAAGCGCCGAACAATATCTTCTTCAGCTTTTGTGCGCTTCTTAATTTTGTTAAAAATTTTTGTTTTCTTTTTTTTAGACATGAGTCACTACCCCCAACAAAAAGAAAAAGAACGAAGTGAACAACGAAATTTATGTCAGCAGTGCCAAAAGCGACGAGCGAATAAAGGCAATAAAAACAAGCGGCAAATAAATAAATAAGAAATTCTAAATAAGAAAGAGGAAAACATGAAAAATAACAAAAACCCGAACAAAGTACTCAAATATTCATGCAATATGTTCTAGTGTGTGTGTTTCTGTGTGTGCGATTGTGTAAGTGTGGGGGCATGTCCGTGGGGGCACAAGCATATTATATATATTTATGCAATTCAAATGGGAGCCCAACAGGTTGCAACAGAAATGATTCAAAAATATCCCCATATGGCAATTAAAATTTTCAGCGCAAGCAAACTTTTTGTAACCAATAAAAGCCAGAATGAACAGTTATTTGCAGTTCCGAAAATAATTTTGTCAATTTTGGATGCTCTACTTTGTACTATGGTCATGTACAGAAAACCAGAAGCTGTTAATGAGTAACAATTTCGATTTGAAGTGCACATGAAATTGTTAATAATAAAACAAAAACATTTATGACTAACCGTTGTATGGGGTTTTTTATTCGATAGGGAAGTTGGGCGGCCCGCATGTTGACAGCAGACACTTTGCCGCAACCACATAAAAACCCAACGATGCGACAACAGCAATTAAAAATAGAGAAAGTTGCAAGAATAACAGAAAGGCCAACTTCTAGCAGAAAGTTAAGAAGTCTCAAGCTGTTAACGGAGCAAACCGCAAGCCTACTTCGAGTCCGGCTGTAATCGCATAAGTCGGGCATGCAGTTCTACTTCACGCCCAACTCCCACAGCTGCTGCTGATGAGCGTGGCAGAAGCGGGTGGGTGGCGGCAAGCAGGTAAAAACGAAAACAAAACCAAAAACAAATAAAATTCATACACATTTTCTTGTAGCTGGTCGAACGAGTTTTACAAATTGTCAACGCTTTGCTTTTGGCAAATACAATTTGTAGACAAAAAACTAGTTTGCAGCGCACGTACATTAGCTCTGTGTATCCATGTATGTGTATCTGTATCTGTGCAACATAATTTTGTCATTACCAAGCGGCGACACATACGGCACACATATATATGTGCATATGGCCAACAGATGTTGAGCAAACAAAAACAACAACAACAACTTGAACCAAATCAAGCGTTTCTGACCGAAGCAAACGTGCGGCGGGCTGCAGTGTTGCCAACTTTTGAGAAGCTGAAATAAAGCTAGGTTTACGAACAAAGGATTAAAGAAGCAATATTTAATTTTACAAAACCATAAACAAAATAAGGGCGTTGTCACTTTTTAATCAAATATATTCTCCTAACGCAGAGGTTCTGGCGGAAGGTAAAGTCAAGAAATTAAATTATACTCTGACAAGGCGTTTCTAAACTTAGCTAATTTGGAATATCATTTATTAACAATAGGTAACTAAAGAAATATAAAATTAATCTCTATCTATAGCTGCAGAATCCTTGAATAGATTGCGTTACATCTTCATAAGACCCCTACTGTAAATTCTTTAGTAATATAACTTACTAGGAACTAGAAACTATTTTGAAGATTCGCGCAATCTCACTCTCAAAAAACGGCCAGATTTGACGGAAAATAAGCGAAGCTGGCAACTCTGGCGCGCTGCGAGCATCCAGGTAGTCGTCGCACAGTTATATTTTTGTGGTCCTGTGTGCCACGCCCCCTGGCAGCGCCTTGTTGACTGTCGTTGTGTTGATTTCGGCTCTTTTTGTTGATTCTCCGGAGAGTATTTGCCCTTCTGAGGCAAAGGCGTGGGTAACGGCAGGCAAAGGCATGCGGTCAGCCAGTACGCCCAAATGGGCGCGCCTCGTTCAAGCCCAGATAAATAAACAGTTACACGCAGATTTGGATACATTCCGCGTAAATGCAACAGTTTTTAAGATTCGGAAGTGATCAAGGCTCCTACCACGGTTGCATCCATAAACATGAGTGGGGGTCCCGTTCATGATAGAAGCAGCAGGCAAAGCAGACGAAGATGAGAGAAACACAACAAAAAGCGCTGGCTCTTTGGAGAGAGAAAGGAACAGCCGGAGAATGAGAGAACGGAGACAACAACGAAGTGGCACACAAAAGGGAAGTAACTAAAAATAACAAACAAATGACAGCGTTGGCAGCGTTGACTTTGGGCTCTCCGCAAGGTGGAATGAACTCAAGATCAGGGCACAGAAGATACTTTAAATATAGAAGGCAACAAAGAGAACAACAAAGTTGCGCTTATTGGGGGAGCGTTGCGTGTTGCTTAGTTGAAGGTGGCGCCCAATTGATAGAGCTGCAAGCATATGACATACATACGTATGTATATGCATTTAACATATATAAATATATTTGTATATTATAAGCTCAGAATCCTTTCAAACAGATCGTTGAAATTATAAATTTAAAATGTATCGAATGTTATAGTGGAAGGTGTTCCCTTAAAGGAGAAATTTAGTGATAAGATAAATACTGTGATCAATAAAAATATTAAACCTTTCGGTTATACTAATTTTGAAAACTTTATAAACATTTAAGTTTAACACTTTTGTAGGATAGCAAATTATCCGTTATTTAAAAACTTTTTTCTAATATCTTAGAAACAGAAAGAATGATATGAAAATATATGACCACTTGTTGCTGATTCCAATTACTGAACAATTGTATTAATTAATGATTCATTTAAACGCTTTTGAACGCTTTAATTGTCGATTACAAAACTTTAAGGTTTGAGCTATGCGCGTACTCAGCTCACAAAGAGATTTAGTAAATACATATTTATATAGCTTTGAATGCGTGTATAGATTTTTATATAAATTTCTGATTTACATATCACTTACCTTCATCCAGCAGGCGCTCCACATGCGTAAAGACATTTGGAAATGCGGCCAACTGTTTGCGATCCTTTAGCAATTGGGCCAAATAGTCGGCAATGCTTTGTGTGCTCTGTTGTTGTTGTTGGGGCGTCATGTGCTGCGGCTGTGGCACCACTTGCGTGGGCTGTTGTTGTTGCTGCTGCTGCTGAGCAACTGCGGCGGCTGCGGCAGCCGCAACGGCAGCGGCGGCCTGTTGTTGCAACTGCTGTTGCACAACGGTCTTGTTCTCACATACACTCATTTTGTTGTTGTGTGTGAGTGTGTATATATATGTGTGTGTGGGCGAGTGTGTTTTTGTTAAAGCTTTTACAATTGTTTACTTTGTGTTGCACAATATTGTTGTTGCTGTTGCCGAGATTCTTTTATGATGCGTATTAAATTTTTTCGACAGTTTCTCTATGTTCTGCTTTCGCTTGGCTTTTTTAACGTATTGCACAATTGCTAAACAAAAGGCTATTTTCTTTTATTTTTTCTTTCTGCTGCCGTAACTCGCTTTGATTTCTTGTTGGTGTTTCGAGTTTAAAAGTTACTTCTAAATAAAAAAACACAAAATTGTTTTTGTTACGAACTAAATTTTCATTAATAATAGAAACAGATTGAAAACAACTCCACCCAAAAATGTATCGAAGAAACAAACGAAAACAACCACAACGACGGTGGCAGCGCAGCAGCAGCGGGAGAGCAACTTGAAAATGAAGACAGAAAAATTCCTCAACGCAGCAGTGCGGCTGCCTCTGATCGGTAAGAGGAAGAGCAGACAGACGGCGCAGTCGCCGTCTCCGTTTTGCCAGCACTCATATACACTCACACGCACACACAGCGACAGTTAATTTGTATACGCCTGTGCATGTGTTTGTGAGCGTAATCGTGAGCAACGGAGATGAATGAAAGCAGAATGTCAAAATAGCTGCTATTCGTTCGCTCTCTTTCTTTCTCTCTCTCTGTCATTCTCATTCTGTGGCTGCAGCAGCCCCAAGTACAACAGAAATGAAATTAATTTTTATATGCAAATTAACATATTTCTTATTTGCAGCAGCATTGATGAGAAATTCGTAAGCACAACTTCACAAATTTCTAATGCTCGATTTGCTCGTCTTGCTTATTGCCAGAAAGAAAAGCAACCAATTATTGATTTCAAATGAAAAGGTTGAAAATTTCGCATGAAATATGCACAATTTACTGTTGCTGCTGATTATGATTTATTTGTTGTTGTAGTCCATTTTGTGTGGTGGTTGCTTTCAGAATGTTTCACAATAATATTGTTTTAAAAGTTGCATACATTTGCATTTGTTGTACAGTTCATATATTTAATATTTAAGAATTCCTTTTTTTGTTTATATAAAATGTATTCGAGTCGGGTAAAAGGAAAACGCACGGATCTCGCCTCTACTTGAACGATTCTTCCTACTTCTACAACTGAACCGCACGCAAAGACAGAGAAAAAGAAACTGAACGCAAAGCGCATTAACGAAAGAAAATGAAAAGAAGAGAGCCAGCATGCCATTTTGAGTATAACAGCAGCTTAACAGCATTGAAGATCATTTACTAGCGTTGCCACAGTAAACCTAATGCGCAGCTGTTTGCTTTAACTAAGAATTATAGCTTAAAACCAACCTATTTTAATAAATATAAAATCAAACATGGAGAAATTGTTTGAATAAAATATATACTTTTCTGTTTTAGTCCTTTTAATGGGCCAAAAATGGAACATTGGTTCTTTAACCAAACAATTTCTGTTAGGTGGCAGCTCTAAGCCTGTCAATCATGCGCTGTTAACAGCAGCCATCCCGCTTGCACTCGCTTGTTTAGGCATATTTGGCGCGTTGGCGTCAATTTGAATTATGGAAAAAACAATGCGAGTGGAGGCATTAATTAGGTACGGAAATTGTTAGAAGGCAACGACGAATGCGATTAGAACCGAATACAACGCATTGTCAGATATGTGGGCATTTGGCCAAAAGGCTATGCAAATTACTCCCGTATCCGTACTAGATAGAAATTGTGCAGCCAAAAAGTCAAATGTTGGTGTCAAGCTTGCCTATGAGCCAGAATGCTCAAATAGTTAAATGTATGTGGGAAAAAATTGGAATTCGCATGCGATGGCAGCAACGCACCATATAAGCGTCCCTGGACGGCAACAACTTTTACTTTCCATTGCAAATGCGTTTCAGTTATGGCATTTTCTGTATGTTTTGCGCCTGGCTTCCGTGTATTCCGCAAAAAGCCATCACCAGCAACCGCTTTACACATACAGCACCCGCATGCACTTAAAAGAGACGTGAAAGTTTTCAATCAGTGGAAGTGGAAAGCAGGCGCCCACCACCACCAACGACCTGACCAACAACATCGTCTGTACCTTGGCATGGTCAGCTGTGTGTGCGTGTGTGTGTGTGTGTGTGCGTGTGTGTGGGCCGGTGCCGAGCATTATATAGTCACATTATACATTTTATTGCCACTGTGAATATCTGTGTCAGATTTAGACATTGTATTATTATAGGTTTTCGATTTAATGCCAGCAAAGCCTATTTTGCTGTTGACACCTACACACATGCGCACACATCTAGATCCACATGATAAAAAGAAAAAAACTGAAGAAAAAAAGCAACACATCATTTCATTCGTGGGCCGTTAAGCTGTAGGGCTTTGTATGTGGGACATTTTGGTAGCACTCTCAATTTGAAAATGTGGGCCCCAAAAAACTACTATACTATTCAAATTGTTCAATAATTTTGTGGCAATGATTTTCAAACAAGATGAATAAGGCATAACACACTCTCGCCCAACCACGCCAGTATGTGTTATTCGGTTTCACTGAAAGACCTCTCACACACACTAACACGACGAGGAAAATTGCGTTAAGAATGCAATGATAGCCCAAAAACCAAATTTTAGACAGTTGTCTGGACAACAGATTGTCAAACGACCCCGTTACAGTGCAGCAAATGCATGGAAGTTCGGCAAATGCATCACAACTCTAAGACAACTTGAGTTAGCCAGGTTAATTTAAGCTTTAGCCTATTAATATAAGCTTTTGCTAAGCATTGAGTTTAAGCGTCTGTTACAGTCTTTCTCTCCTGATGTGTATTAAGAAAAGACCTGAATTGGGTACCAAATTAAATATTGATACCGATTCCTCCTAAATATTGGATTTCCCATTTAATCTGTTTCCTGTTACAAAAACTCTTCGATCGATTACAGGTGGGTTCGGTGAGGCCTTAGCCTCCTTCTAGGTGGATAGACATTATATTTTATATGTTTATCTAAAACAAGAAATGTAATTGTATCCTAATTCTAATTATAATTGCAAACAGCTCTTGACTTTGTACGTACTGATAGAAAATCAACTAATATTTTTGAAATAATTTTTTTACTATTTTTGCCCACTGTGCGGATTTACCAACCTCTCTGTTAGCCATATTTCGCACTATAACATCCTTAAATGTGCGCCCTTTTGATTGGAAATTTTTTTGATAATTCTTCGCATTAATGGCACCTGCTTTGATGTTAGCCGACAAAATGATACACTTGCTTTTTCGGACAATTTGCAATTGACACACAAGCTGCCCCCGCTTCCCCCTTGTGCAATTAGCAGCGGCATATTGGTAAAAAGCCAAGTTGTTGGCCAGTGGGCTTTTCATTACGCATACAACTGTTGCGTAGACGCCACCACAGAGTGAGCCAAATAAAACCAGCTACAACGCCCACACACCTGCTCAGCCCAGGTAGACGAGAGTCGTTGCTGAATGGAAACTTTAGCCAGCCGGATAGGAATTTAATATGAGAATGATATACCATTTGATCGGAGCTTATTAGGTAACTTTTGCTGGTTAGATTGTTAACAAACTAAAATTGAAGTTGTAATGACATTTTTTTCAAAAATATATATTAAAAGTTAGTTACTTTGATGAACATTTTCATTTCTTACATATATATGAATGAATGCAATAAAAATGTATATTTAAAAATAATTTTAAAAAAATTTCTGAACTCATATCATTTCAAAAATATGTGATTCGGATATATATTATTTGTATGAGGTATAACAATATACATTTAAGACACATTTGCAGCTAAATGAACATAATTAATTATATAAAATTTTTAATCTAAGAACTGGCATGAGATTTGAACCGGATACTTTGGAAAGTATGAAGTTAATGTAGTTCCCTCTCGACAAACTGAGACACAACTTCATTTGAATACAAAGAGTTAATAGTTAGATGCGCTGCATTGCGAGGGACATTTATAAGTTATGTATACCCTCGACTCTTAACTAAAGTCCACTCAACTAAGAGAACACAAAATACTCATGTACTAGCTTATGAATGAAACCCGTTTTAATCGTATTAACTATGTTTTAAAGTAAAATTATTTGCATCAATTGGAAATTGTGACATTTATTCACATTAAGAGCAAAGCAAGCTGCGACAAATGAATTTTCATTCCTTAAAAATTTATATTTTGTATACTCTATAATTATTAAAGTTGAGTAAACGGGTATATTGTTACAGTTCATGTTATGAGCCAGCATTAAGCATATTAACTGCACATATACGTATTTATATAGAGTCTATATAATCCTGGCCAACTGACTGCGCTTAATTCTGAGAGGCCTTATCTCGTACCTTATGAAATGGGATATTTTGTATTATACGCAGATCAAGAATATTTCGGTTTTACCTGTGTCAACTTGCCCTAAAGTTAAAGAAAAAGATGTTGAGGTTGAATATTTTAAAATATATTTATTTATCTAAAAGAAGTTAATCAAGAGTTTACTGAAGTAAAGAATTAAGCAACTGCCTGCGTGTATTTGTGTCTACAGGGTGTACGCCAGTCGGTCACATTTAGATGAAACATTCTCTTCTTTTAATCTGCACTAGCTTATTAAACAGGCTGGCACTGATGCATTCAGCGACACAGCCTCATGAATGAATTTTGAAGCTGCTACCAGCATCAGCATCAGCATTAGCATTAGGATTAGCTTCAGCCTTAACTCGATTTCATTCACAAACATGTATTGGCTTGATTAGCTGCGCTGTAGCAAGTGCTGGCTCGCTGGCTTTAGTTGCATGTTACCAACTAATGTGGGGGGCGTATTCGTGTGTTTTCGGCATTTAAAACGCCCACGCCTAGGCGCAGGCCTGAAAAACAACTATTAATTTGTTGCTATCCATGCCTGGCTGGCTGGTTTGATTAGGCAGCACATTAATTTCTTGATGCTGTCTTTTGGACAGCGAGTGGCGATTGCTGTGAAGTGGGTGTTGTGGGTTAAACGGGTTTTATTAGAAAATTGTTTGCAGCTCCTCAATGTTATTTCAATTGATGGCAGCATTTGTGGGCGACGCATTGCTCAATTGAATAAGACCTGGACGACATGCATGCCAAACTGTAACAGTTTGAGTCGATCTGACCGTCAATAAACTGGAACAATTTGTATAAAAATAAAATTTGCCAAAAATTAAAAAACAGTTGCCATAATGGGCTCGAATCGCCAAATACTTTGTTTTCGCAAAAGTCTGGCGGCTGGAGCGGAGACAATAAATATGTGAAATAAACAACACACAAATAAGGCAAACGCCACATCCGTGTGGGCGCCTTTTGGTTTGAATTTAAATAATGATGCAAAATTAGTTGTGAAATGAAGACACTTATTCACATTCGCTACACATACATATGTCTACAATGTATATAATGTTATATAAAAGACAACGGTTTATACTTAAGGCTAAAGAATTAACGCATAAACTTCTTGGCCTGATCGCGATTGACCTGCTTAAAGTGGCGCTGCTTGGCACCGCTGTCGTTCATTTGCTTATAGTAGCCGAAACCGCCGCCACCCACACGCTTCTCGGGCCGCTCTCGCTTGGCAGCGCCTACTTTGAGGTCAACCACAGGCGGCACCAGAAAGCCAAAGCTTTTGGAAACCGCCTGCAAGTCCAGTGTGTTCACATTGAATATTTGTTTTAGCTGATGCGAGTCATAGGCGCGTACATACGACTTAAAGGCCTCCTTAGCTGACTGATTAAGGAAATAGTTTTTCGCTATCAACTTCTCTAGCTAAAAATAAAGAAGCTGTTATGATTTGTATATGGTTTATATAGCTATAGAGCTTACCTGCAGCTGTATATCGGCAATCTTTTGCCAGGAGAACTCAAATTCATTGAGCGGCACCTTGGCTGCCTTCAGATAGCGCAAGAAGCCCAATTCCTCGGGTCTTAACATTAGCAGAGCATGTCCAGATGTGCCTGAGCCGCGTGCCGTACGACCCACACGATGAATATATTCGCGTGGATCATCTGGCGGATCGTACTGCACAATCCAATCGACTTGCGGTATATCTAGACCACGTGCTGCCACATCCGTGCAGAGCAAAATGCCCGACTCGGCATTGCAGAATTGGAAGAAGGTCGAGGTGCGTTTCGTTTGCTTCTGTTTTCCATGAATGGAAGTGACCGGTAGATCGATGTAGTTGAAGAGTTCGTGATGATACTTGACCGACATACACGAGGAAAAGAAAACCATGACCTTCTTCTTGCGATTCTTTTTTAGGAACGTAAAAAGCACCAGCAAACGCTTCTCCGATGGGCAAACAATGTAACCTTGCTCGAGGCCCTCAACGGTAGCCGTCTCTTGGTTATCGTGCACGCCCACATAGATCGGCTCCTTTTTCAGCGCCAGCTTGGAAAGCGCATCGATGCGTTCCGTCTGTGTGGCCGAAAACAACATTGTCTGGCGGCGTTCTACAGAAAAAAGAGGAAATATATGTATCAGGAGCCAGTCATCTTTAAACGAAATTCTTCACTTACTTGGCAACAAATTAATGATCTGTTTCAGTTCCTCCTCGAAACCAATTTCCAATATGCGATCCACTTCATCAATAATCAAACACTGCAAGTTTTTGTATAGGAAATCCGGTGAATTCTGCAGATGATCCAACAGACGACCCGGCGTGGCCACCAGAATGTTAATGCCTTTGCCCAGCTTTTCGCTCTCCACCTGACGATTGGAGCCACCCATGACCAAGCCATAGGTGTGATGATGATGTGCCATTAGCTCTTTGAGCACACCAAACGTTTGCATGGACAGCTCCCGTGTGGGCGAGATAATAATAACGCCCGTGCCGTTGCGCGGCATAAAACGCAGCTTATTGATCAATTCCACGGCAGGTATAAGGAACGCAAGCGTTTTGCCTGAGCCCGTTTGGGCAGCGCCCACCAGATCCCGACCCTTGAGTAATGGCGTCAAAGACTTGGCCTGAATTTCAGTCATCTCGGAGAAGCCCATCTCGGCAATGGCTTGCAATGTGGCCTCAGAGACGGCGCCTTTGAGTGAAGCAAAGCTGCGATCATCGGAATCACGTTGATCCAATGCTGACAATGAGGATTCTACGGTAAAGGGCGTGTCATCATCTGTAGCTTTGCCATTTGTTGAGGCAGCCTTTTTGACTGCTTTAGGCTGTTGCTTGGATTTCTTGACCGGCACCGGTGAGTCCTCCTCTGAATCGGGTGAGTCTGCAGCTGCAAGTGTTATGATAACAATTAACAAGGATTTCCTTTTAACTAATCTAATGCAATCATTTTGTTTTTCAGTTATTTTTCCAGTGCATCTCATGCTTCCACTTAACAGCATTAACTCGCTGCTCTGGTGAAAATCAAATTCGCCTTTGAATCATCCTTAAACCAAAATTAATCACTTTCTGCTAAGGCAAATTATTAGTATACCTTCACTATCTATCTCCTCGTCGTCCTCGTCATCTTCCCCTGACGCACTACCGCTCTCTGCCTCATCCTGTTCCGAGTCCGAATCGGAGTTTGCCACCTCGATTTGTGGCTTCTTTTTCTGCTGCTGGCGCTTTTTTCCTTTGACCTGGGGCTGCTCTTGAAAATCATCATCCAAGTCGTCTGCTAAGCGTTTATAAATGTTTTTTTATATATTATTAAAAGCTGCATGTTTTCACACACCTTCAGCCTCCACAGGTCGCTTCTGCTTTTTGGGTTGGGTCTTTCCGGACTTTGCGGCTGGCGGTTCCGGCACTGCCTGCTTGCCTTTGCCTTTTTTCTGGGAGAGCTCCTTCTTCATTTTCTCGCGCTTGACAATTTTTTTCATAAGAAGCTTTTCTCTAATCGACATTTTAAGGAATTGCGGTTTTAAAACAGATGTATATCAAAAAACTTGGAATAAAACAAACGCGCACGTGTTGCAGTCCACGATTTTGCCATTCACATTAAAAAGTAGACAAATTGCTAAACAGCTGTGTATGTGTTTATCGATAGATCGCATATGAATATTCGATAACATTTCCGTATGACACAAAAATTGCTGTTTTGAAAATTTAATTTGTATTCAATTTAAATGATTTAATTTAAATATAAACGTACCATTTAACGCAGAAATAAAGCTTTATTCTCCTAACTTGGGCAACCAGATGATTATTTTACGTATTTAGTTTTACCAGCTTTCTGAAATAGTTGGCATTCCCAAATTTGCCAGTCACAACGAACAAGTAACTAACATAGAAACGCCACCTTGATGGAAATTTCTATAAACGTTTTTGTTTTCATTTTGTACAGTTTAGTGGTTTTATATTTGCAGCATTTTGTCAACAAGTATACGGAATTTGTGCGCAGTCTTTAGATGAACATGCTGGGACTGCAATCCTACGGCAGCTCCTCCGAGGGTGAATCGGACCACGAGCAGGGCAAGGATGCAGCGCAAGAGTTGCCCGCGCATTTACAGCCGGTGGACAAAACGCATTCGCTATCCACAGCGCTGGCAGTTTGTGCGGCGCCCGAAGTAGTGCCGATGGGAGCTGCAGCCGTTGCGCGAACGCTAGATCCAACGCTTAAGGAAGTCACCTACAATCCACGCTACGATGAGATGTATGCGCCCGTCCAGGGCCCAGAGCATCCAGATTTGACCATGCAACAACGGGCGCCGCGCAACACGCTTGCTGGCTATGTGGAGAAGGCACACATAAATGCATTTGAATTTGAGAATCAGCGGCGCACGTTCCACACCTATGGCTATGCCTTAGACCCCACAGTCGATGAGGCTGCCGATGGACAGTCCTACGTTGGTGACTTGCAATCCGCATATGATGACAATGGCAAAACGGTATTTGAGGCGCCCAAGCCAAAAAAAATGCGCAAACAAGAGAAAAATGATAATCCAGAAGATGTGGAGGGTTTCCTGGGGCCATGGGGCAAGTTCGAGAATGAGGTGAGCGTCGCCAAACCTAATGAACAAGAACGCGCCGAGCTGGATGAGCTGCTCTCCAAGCGGCACAAACGCGGACGCATACCCGAGGACAAACCGCTCGAAGAAAAGTCCACGTTGCACAGTGAGTTAGCCGGCAATAGCTGAGTCCTATTTGAATGGGTAACCAATTTTTTTAAATGATATATTAATATTTTCTTGTATTTGTATTGCAGTCAAGGATGCTTACGATTACCAAGGGCGCTCGTACCTACACGCACCACATGATTTGGGCGTCAATTTGCGTTCGAACGCGCCTCCGCCAAAATGTTTTCTGCCCAAGGCACACATACACACCTGGACGGGCCACAACAAAGGCATCTCGTCCATACGCTGGTTTCCCAAGACGGCGCATTTGCTACTCTCCGGCTCAATGGATTGTCGCGTCAAGCTGTGGGAGGTCTATGGCGATCGACGTTGCGTGCGTACGTTCTCAGGCCATCGGCAGGCCATTAAAGATATTGCGTGGAACAACAAGGGCTCGCATTTTCTGTCTGCCTCGTATGATCGCTATATAAAATTATGGGATGCGGAGACGGGTGATGTCGTCTCGCGCTTTACTACACGCAAAATGCCCTTCTGCGTTAAGTTTCATCCGGATAACAGCAAGCAGCATCTCTTTGTGGCCGGCACCTCTGACAAAAAGATCATTTGCGTAAGTTAAACAGTTCATCATCAAAGTAATTGTAATAAAGATTAATCTATTTCATAGTGGGACACGCGAAGCGGCGATATTGTGCAGGAATATGATCGTCATTTGGGCTCTGTCAGCACAATTACCTTTGTGGATGATAATCGTAGATTTGTGACTACCTCAGATGACAAATCCATGCGCATCTGGGAATGGGACATACCCGTGGACATGAAGTACATTGCTGATCCTACAATGCATTCCATGCCTGCAGTCACGCTGGCGCCCAATGGCAAATGGATGGCCTGTCAATCGTTGGACAACAAAATCGTGATATTCTCCGCCTTGAATCGCTTCAAAATGAATCGCAAGAAGACCTTCACTGGACACATGGTCTCTGGTTATGCCTGCCAGCTAGACTTTTCGCCGGACATGAGCTATCTGGTGTCGGGCGATGGCGATGGGAAGTGCTATATATGGGACTGGAAGACGACGAAAATGTACAAAAAATGGCAGGCGCACGACGGCGTCTGCATCAGTGCACTTTGGCATCCGCATGAGGCCAGCAAACTAGTTACTGCCGGCTGGGATGGTCAGCTTAAATATTGGGATTAAAGTAAACAACTAGCTAGTGCAGTTGTAAGCTCAAGTGTAACATATTAATTGACTAAATGAGAAGACCACAAAGTTTACCTCTAAAAAAAAATTGGCTTTGTTTACATTTTGCAGGCAGCTGATAAGAGAGCGCATGCGCAGTGCTTGCCAAACTGTACAATATGGCGCTGGCGCCTGCAAACAAAAATTCATAGCCCACCCTCAGGGCGCAAAACATATGCGATTGCCAGCCAAAATCAATACTTTTTCACAACAGCAAGCAAGCAGCGTAGAAATTGTTTTCCAAAAAAAAGAAACAATTGCAAGAAATAAATTATAATCGATGCAACAAGGCGCTGGCGCAACTGCATAAAGAGAGATATTTACAGTTTTGGCACCATTGAAAAAATGCATATATTGTGAATTTAAGGATTAAGTAAGCAAACTAGATAAAACACTTGCAATTAATAGTTCCACAGCACTGCTGCCATGGCCAAGCCGCCCACAGATACCTCCGGCTTGGGCTATGCCTATCATCTACCATCCGGTGGCCTTTTGCTGCGCCTCAAGAACTCCCTGTCACAGTTCAGTGACCTATTCAGCGAGTTCAACAAATACATTTCACCTGCCTTTTTTCACGATCGCTGCGAGCGATCCGTCCACATGCGCATGTACTCCATGCACAAGCGTGAATTTGTTATGGTCTTTCTCGGCTTCTTCACCTGCTTCGGCCTGGGCATAATAATTGGCCTCACTGGTCCGCCAATAACAACCACAGACGCAGTGACGGCACATCAGATCCTGGCCAATACAACGCTGGCGCATAGCAAAACCGTGCTGGCCACGGGCCCCTTTGCCATGAAGTCCCCGCTGATGACGACCTACTCCCAACAGATGTGGCTCATAGCCAAGCTGGTCACCGATAACAATGATGGTAAGTGTTGAGCCCCCATTGCCCCCATCTTCAGTAAGGCGACATTCAGTCTATGCTCCCGTCTAGATGAGCGCTATGACAAGAGTTTCCAGATTAGCGTCTCCATCGATGGCATCAACGAGCAGCACAAGCCACTGAGTGTCCTGGGCCGCAGCGCGGCCCACAATCGCACAAGGCATTTGCTGTGTGTGCGCAACGACTGCGAGGAGTTCACAGTCATGCATTTGGGCTTTTTGGACTATGCCCACTATATCATAACAGTACGTTTCCTAGGGCTAGAGTCGTTCCATCAGAAATACAACATCAGGGCCATTACGTTCTATGTGAGTAGCAGCTACCCATCTATATACCTTTCAAGTAGAGATGGGCTCGTGTCTGGTTTGTCTAACACGAACACGAACTGAAAGTGGGAAACACGCAATTTTTGCATACAATGTCGTGTCAACAGAGACACGAGCACGAACGACACGAGACACGAGCACGTGCGTGTTCGTGTCACGACAAACAATCATGATACACGCCTTTCTGTACCTGCAAGTCAATTCCACTAAATGATTTCTTTTAGTTCAAGACATATAGCCCGGAGTTTACACAGATTGAGATCTGGTTCAGATTCATCTTTCTGCTCTTCACGTTCATCGTCATAGTAAGTAAAAGAGCATGCATATAAACCCTGTTTTCATAGATTCTCATTCCTTTCTCTTCCATCAGTGCTGGTATGCACACACGCTGCGCAAGTATCCCGTCTACGACTGGTCCATTGAGCAGAAATGGATATCCGTTCTGCTGCCGCTGCTGCTGCTCTACGATAGTGGGTATTACCCAAGTCCATCATTTATGAGATATTTTGAATTCTGCAATTTTCATAGATCCATTCTTTCCGCTGATATTTCTGATGAACTCCTGGCTGCCGGGCATGCTGGATGCCGTTCTACAGGCCACATTCCTGTGCGCCCTGCTCATGTTCTGGCTGTGTATCTACCACGGACTGCGGCAGAACGAACGACGCTTTGTTAGCTTCTATATGATCAAGATTATCGTGGTGCTGCCCATTTGGCTGTGCGCCATTGTCCTGGCCACATGGGAGAAATGCAACGAGCTGCGAGATCCCACATACAGCCACTTTGTGGACACCAAAAACTACAATGTGAGTGGGGCCGAGTAATTATTAGAGTCTCAGATTAATCTTCTTCTACTTTGCAGGGCCTGAAGATGTTCTTCTACATTGCCTGCTGTATGTATGTGGTTTATCTGGGTCTGCTCCTGCTGCGCGCCTACACTGAACTGCGTTCCATGCCCTACTTTGGTAAGCTCCTTGCCTTTCCCGAGAACATTGTGTTTCGAAATCAACAATTATGCTGCTCTTCCAGACATACGGCTAAAGTTTCTCACGCTGCTGATGCTCTTTGTGCTGTCCATTTCCATAACGGTCACCACTTGCCGATTTGGCTTCGGCATACTGGAGGATAACTTTGTGGCCACACTGAACACCACTTACCGCAGCTCGGCTCAGTTTATGTGCTTTTACGGGCTGTTAAATTTCTATTTGTACACAATGGCGTATGTGTATTCGCCGGACGGACGCTTTGCACAGGCTGAATTGGCGGTTACCAAAGATAATCCGGCCATTTCCATGATAGACGACTCTGACGAGGATGTCGTCTATGGCTCCGATGAGGAGTCACGGCGTCCACTGACCTCCATCGGTGGCGCGGGTAAAAATGACTACGATAGCGATTAACATCGACCGATCAATGGTTGGGCGTATCATATTTTAAACGTTAATGTTCCATAGCATGCGATCCAAACAGCGCTACATTATTGTACAAACTACAAATCCTACAGGTATAGCATTCAGCCAAGCGTTTTCGATTCCCTTAACTAAATTTGAAGTAAAATTAATTGATAATTAACTATTTGTTTAATACATATAAACGGTACGTCGGTTTGTGCAGCAATTGCTATCCTCAAAGAAATTGAGAAGATTTGCGATAAACCCAAGGAGCATATTAAAGCTCGTATTTTGAGAGTTTAATTAAGATATCTGGGAAAAGAAGTTTGCATTTTTGATTCTGATTATAAGCCATTAGCATAGTGGTGCTCAGGCTGGTAAAACAAGATCATCATAGTGTTCTGTTCCGACTAATACAGACATGCATCTGACATATAGAGGAGACTGCATCGAATGGTTGTTAATCTTGCATTGCCGTATATCCGTCTCTTATATAAGTATATGCTAAATGACGATTGGTCTCATTTTCCATCTAAAGGCATTTTGAATTGAGAGAATTATTTAAAATTATAAGACAGGCAGAACATTGTAAGCGAAAAGATTACCGTTATTTTACTAGATTGTTTATTACATAATTAACACATTTCGCCAATTGAACTCCATGATCATGGGTGGCCGCCTAGAAGACCTCGTTAATGCCCATTTTACTCTTGGTCAACAAGCCACTGTCTCCCACATCCGCATTGTAGCCTGGGCGATACTTCATGCCAGGCGCCTAGCAAAAGTAAAAAATATAGTTATTAGATTGAATCCAAAGGAAGTGGAGTCAACAATTGGACTCACATTGAACCAGACATCACGCCAGACTTTGCTGTCGTCGGCGCTGCGCAACAGCTCGGGCACATCGAAACGTGGCACATTAAAGTAGTTCATCAGATCGGACTTTTCGTTGCAGTACTTGATGCGTGCCTCGCACCACTCGCTCTCGAGCGGGAAACGCCAGTCCAGCATTTTCTTGTTGTGCGGATCCGACTCGTGTTGCAGAAAATCAATGCGTTCGATATCTTCGACCACTACCTCGGTTTCGCCACCGGCTGACCAATCGTAGATAAGCAGTTCCGCATGTCCAGCGATGTCCTTAAGATACTGCTGCTTGTACAGAGCCTCTAGATCGCGCAAATACGCCTCGGTAAACACTTTGGATTTCACCTCATACTCTAAATTGCGGGCCTTAATTTGCTTCTGAACAGCATCCACGGGCAAATCAAGGTAGATGACCAAATGTGGCTTGAGCAGCTCGCCGATGGTGTTTTGGCGCAGATCGTTGTAGACGGAACGTGCACCACGTGATATATAGCCCTGGCGGAACATAGCCTCCATGAAGACAAAGTCGGAGTAGGGACTGCGCTCTAGTACAACGCCCTGGCCAGTCGAAAAGATGTGCTGCAGTGCATCGATGTACTGCGAGACGCGCAGCATGTACATACGTATCTGGAACAGGGCGGCCAGCTCATGATTGGGATCCCTGCAGAAGTCCTTAACATCATAACTGCGGCAGCTGGGCGGCAACTGCGGATCCAGTTTACGCATATCATAGCCATAGGGATTAATATAGATCAGATCTAAGTCGACGGCCGGAAAGTATTGCATATCCAGTTCCGTGGCAAGCTCCTGGGCGAACTTAGTTTTGCCCGACGCTATTGGACCCTCGACGCAGATAACTTTTGAGTTCTCGTCGAAGCGCTTGGAGGTCTTGTCGAAGAAGGCGCTGATGACGTTGTACTTCTTCGTCTTATATGGGTACGGCGCCACCTTAGGACAGCGTGGACCACCCCGCATCGTTCTGCCGGAGATATTGCACTTCTGCATGAAGGCGGCGGGCAATGCATTCGCCTGGGCCTGCAGCAGTGTGCCAGGCGCGGTTGCGCCACGGCTAACCAGCCGCACGAGGCCTACACGAAACACGGCAGTCATGCTGCAATAGTAAAAGGCCCAAAATCAGTTTCAATCTAAACAGTCATAATGGTAAATTTGTTGGCATTTTGTGGTGTCTGTTGTTACATCACACAAGCTTTAAAATACACTTCTGCAGTTTGCATTTGCATCTGCCGATTAGCCTGGTTTTTGCATTCCATTAGCATCAAAGAAGTCGCAATACAGATACAGCTACAGAAAATTATAATTTTTGGCAAATTCCCGTATTATCTACTCACTTTAAAAGCAAAAAATCTAAAATCTATCCAATAACAATATCGGCCTATGCGGTTGGTGTTGATAAACGACAAACTTTATAGAGTCGTTCAACACTTGTACTGTGCTAACAGGGCTACTAAGTTTTCTGTTGAATAAAAATTTGCGTTATAAAAGTAGTGTGTAATTTATGTGGCAAACCCTTGTCTTTATTGTCAATTAAAACAAAAATATATTCAATTCAATTTAAACACCC